AGTGTCTGGGTAATTAGAAAGGGAAGCAGTGATCACTAGGAGTCAACAAGAGTTGACTAAGAACAACTCAGGCTAACACAGAGATCCCAGGATGATGTCTTGCATGTGGCAGGTGCTGGGCACATATTTATTTAGTTGAATTAATTGAGAGGCGATTTCAAGTAGAAGATGCCAGCCTCTGAGTCAGAAAGATCTGTATTTATTTCTGAGGCAGTTGAGTGTACAGTGGCTAGAGTGTTGGACTTGGAGTCAGGAAGACTTGAGTTCAAATCCTGCCTCAGACACTAGCTTTATGATCCACGGCAAGTCACTCAGCCTGTTCCTCAGCCTCAGTTTCCTCATCTGTAAAGTGGGAATCATAATAGCATCTACTCTATAGCTTGGTTATGAGGCTCAAATGAGATAATCTATGGAAAGCACTTTTAGAACCTTGAAGCACTTTATAAATACTAGCCATTATTAATACATTCCTCCCCCCACTCCTTTATCTGTACCTTGTACCAACATTTTTTTTTAAGTTAAGCAAAACCAACTGAAAGTCAACTATTTGACAACATCTGTAACATTCTATACCCACAGTTTTCCATCTCTCCAAGTGAATGAGGGAGAGTCCTTTTATTTTAGTGAAAAGTTGTATTTAACCCTAACTTGTTTCCATTGATTAGATTACAATGGGCAGGAATATTCCTGCCAAGCCTGAAAGTCTGAAGACCTCTAAGACACCCCAGAAAGAGAGCCAGTGAGTGAGATCAAAGCTCTAACTCGACATTTTTCCACTTGGGGTAAGTGGGAGTAGTGGGAGGCTCACTTACCATGTAGCAGAAGGAGGAACCCATGAGGTTTCTACCCTGCTAAAGGGCTGGATGCTGTTAGAGAGAAGGCTTCAGATGCTATTGCTGGGGAAGGGGCAGTGGAGGAAGCACCCCCTGGAGTTTCTAGGTTGTTGAAGGGGGAAGAAGTATGTTCTGGGATAAGGCTGCAAGCCACTACCAAGGGGGGCATAAGACCAGTCAGGAGGAAACTTGTTTTGGGATGAGGTTACTCCCTGAATGGGGGGGAGTGGAGAGGAAGCTGTCAGCACCCTCTAAATTTCTCACCCTGGAGCAAAACCCCAGTAACTCCATCTTAATTACAGCTTTGGTTAAGATAAACAGTTTAAATGGAACTCATAGCTTTGAGAAACCAATAGCTTGTTAAGTAAAACACATAAATAACTATGATATAAAATACATGTGAACAGATGATAGGTACAATCAAAGGGCTGAGGTGGAGGGAAGGGCATTACTCACTGGTGAAATCAAAGAAGGCTTCCTAGAAGAGGAAGCATTTGGGCTGGATGGATAGGAATATCAGGGAGAATGAGGAAAGAGGCATCCCTCAGCACTATCACTGAGCCAGCTCATTGTGACTGACTCAACCTCCTCCTATTTTGCTTTGTCTGCTTGGAGTAACAAAACATAGTTGGATGAAGTGACCTCAAGAGTTAAATGGCAGTTCTTCATGGCCTTTTTGAAGAGGGCAGGACTAGTTTAATTTAGCTGGGCGCCTATCTATTTCTCAGTGCCCCTGCCGCCCTCCTTTATGCCAACCCTCTCAGCTGAGGTCCCTCATGCTGCCCAAAGTTTCACACCCAGACCTATCCCATGTAAAGTGTCTCATGCTCCCACATTCTTTCTTTTTTCAACTTTTTCCTGCCCTCCCCAACCAGAGTCAAGGAAAGGTGTTTGGTGATGGGGATGAGAGCTGGTCTGAGCTGCTGGTATTGAGCAACTCAGTGAGTCAACATGTGCAGAAAAGAGGTTGTTTAGTTAGCTGGTGTCAAAAAAAAAAAAAAAAAAAAGGAAAGAAAAAAGGCCCAAGGCACACACAGAGTATTCTAAAAAAGCCTTAGTGCAGCTTTAAGATATAAATGTATATATGAAATATATATGTATATATGAAATATATATACACATACATATGTACATATATACTCAGCTACTGTAGCCCTTTTTCTTTCAAGGATGCCTCTGCTATTCATTCTTTTTTACTTTTTAATAATTTTTTATTTTTTCCAATTACATATAAAGACAATTTTGAACACTAATTTTTCAAAATATTGATTTTCAAAATATGTTTAACATGATTGTACATGTATAACCTATATCAGATTACTTGCCATCTTGGGGAGGGGGGAGTGAGAAGGAGGGAGAAAAATTTGGAACTCAAAATCTTATGAAAAATGAATATTGGAAATTATCTTTGCATGTAATTGGAAAAAATAAAATGCTATTTACTAAAAAAATTTAAAAAAATTTTTGAGTTCCAAATTTTCTCTTTTCCTTTCCTCTCCTCTGTCTGAGACAGTAAGCAGTTTGTTATAGGTTATGCATGTTTTGCTCTTCATTCTAAGGATTACACACACACATACACACACACACACACACACACACACACACACACACACACAAGCGCGCGCGCGCACACGAGGAAAGCAGAGTGTGACTTACCTAAGGTCTCAAACCTCCCTAGGGATAATTTTGTCTATTTTTCTAATGCTCAACCAATTCCTTTTGCCTGGCCAGAACTTCATTTAGATGTTAAGAGGAAATAGTCTCATCAAGTTTATCTCATGGGTGGCATTTCAGAAAGTGCAGAGAGAACTTTCCTTTGAATTATGCCTATTATTCCAGCTACATATAAAGATTAGCCCTTGGGAAATGAGCATTTGTGCTTCCTCTCGTGAACAGGTCCTGTTCCAAACACATCTTCAGAAGGAACGTGAAGTAAAAAGGATATTTGTTTGGAGTCAGAGAACCTGAGTTTGAATCCCACTTCTGCTTGGTTACCTGTCTGACTATGGGCAAGTCTTTTCTGAACCTCCCTGGGCCTCAGTTTGAATCCTTTGTAAAATGAGGTATTTGTACAAGATTACCTATCCCACATCCTCTCTTCCTGCTCTAGGCTCATTTACCCCAGGGCTGCTCCCTGTGCCACTCCCTGTGCCATTTAGTTCATTCTTCCCAGGCTAACACTGATCCCAGAAATCTTTGTTGTGTCAGTGTAAAATGTTAATTCACATAAATTGTTTAGTTGGGTGTCCTTAAGTAAGTCACTCACCCTCTTCTGAGACTCAGTTTTATCATTTGTAAAATGGAATTGAATTAGATGATCTCTAGAAGGTACTTTCTAGCTCTGAAGTTCCATGATTCTCCGCTTTTTTTTCTTTTTAAAACACGAAGCAGCATAACACTATTTATGTAGTTAAGTGTGTCATCTTTAACTCCTCCCTTCCCGAGTAGTCACCTAGTACTGGTGATTCTTTCTTTGAAATGTTTGTCATATCTAGTGCTTCTTTTCCATTTCCATCTCCCTAGGAAACATCCCCTACAGCTAAAGGCCAACAGCTCATCAACTATTTATCGTATCTAGCAAGTGAATTGGGAGTGATACAAAGATAAATACTAATCTGTACCTTCCCTCTGGGAGCTTTTATTGACCTCTCCCTTTTTTGAACTCTCACAACACTATGGGCAATTAATCGGGACCTAACTGGCAAGGTCCAAATGAGGCTCAAATGAGAATGTATAGTAAGCCCTTTGCAACCTTTAAAAGCCCTATATAAATGCCAGTTATTATCATTATTAGAATATTGCTATTTAAATATTTCATATGTGTTTGTCTCTGACTCTCTAATGAGACTCCAACTTCTGCAGGAACTGTGCTTTGTGTTTGTAGGTTCATATATTCAGAGCTGGAAGGGATCGAGGCCATTCGGTCCAACCCCTATTTTTATAGATGAGGTAACTGAAATTCACAGAGGTTCCATGACTTAAGAGGTTACACAAGTAGTGAGTGGGGAATCGAGGATTTGAACCCAACTATTCTGAAGCTAGAGTTTCAAGACGTAAGTTGCCTCCAAGACATTACTTGTTGCAGGGTTAAGCACTATAAATATAATCTTGTAAGTGTTTGCTGGAGCCAGAACTTTAGCTCCTTGAGGGCAGGGAATATTTTATTTTTTGTCTCTCTATTCTGGGTGACTGGTACGGTGCACAGTAGGTGTTTTAAAATGTTGGTCGAATGAAGGAATGTAAGAGGAGGATATGAACTCTGTGCAAACAAAGGGGAAGAAAGGTTTTTGAGGTTCCTGGAGAGGAGGTTTGGGTTTTATTTGGGGTCCAGGTGAAATCAAGGAAGGGTGTGGAGGTCGCTGAGCCCAGGGGCAGTCGTACTTAGAGACCCCTTCTCTTGGTCAGGGTAGGAGGAGGGCCCTCTGGCCAATCCCTGCCCTCGGAGCCCTAGGTCCCCTTGCCAGGTAGGGCTGCATCTCTTTGGCCCAGAAAGGAGGGCGCAGTTACCCTAGCCGTCCCATTCTCGGGGACTGGGGTAGTTTGGCAACGCTCCTGAGCACAAGCTGCTAGAAGAGAAGGGGCGATAAGGCTATAAGCTCCTGCTTCCCACGGTGGGAGCCCGGAAGCAGGGAGGGCCGGTGCCTGGGCCCGGGCCCCCGAAATGCACCGCAGGGTCAACCTGAGCGGCGAGGGTGGGCCCGGCTGGGCGCAGAGCCGACGCTGGCCCGAGAGGCGGAGGCGAAGGCGGCGGCGGCGGCTGCTGCGGCGGCAGGAGGCGGAGGCTTGGCTAGGTCCCCTCCTCCGGGCCCGGCTCAGGGAGGAGCCCTAGCGACCCCGGCCCGGCACTGCACAGCAAGCGGCCGGGGACGGACAGCGAGCGCGGCCTGGCCCAGGCGACGGCGGCAGCCGAGCCGGGAAGGGAAAGGTCGCGAGCCCGCCGCCGCTGTCGCTGCCGCCGCCGTCTGTCCACTCCACTCTCCCAGCCGTGCGGCTCCCGGCCTTCGCGCGCCCATGCAGCCCGGGAGTCTGGCGTGAGCGCTCCGGCCGGGCCTGGCTCCGGCTCCGTCTCTGGCTCCGGCCGCGGCTGCTGCTGCGGCTGCGGGGCGGCGGCCGCCGGGCTGGGCCGGGCCGGGCCAGGCCGGGGCCATGCGCAGGGTGCACTGAGCGATGCCGCGGGGACAGGGGCCGCCGCTCGCAGCCCCCTCCCCGCACGGTCATGGCGGCCCCCGGCCGCCCCCTGCTCCCGCGCCCGCCCCCGCCCGACTCGCTTTCTGCCTTTGCCTGGGTCTCTGCATCGGGGGCCTCTCCGCCGCCCCAGACCCTGGCTGCCAACCCTGCGGCCTTGATTGCGACTGCACCCCGGGGCCCGGCGGTGCCTGCAGCGTCAACTGCTCCGGCCGCGGCTTGCGGGGGCTTGGGCCCGAGCTGTCCATCCCTCCCGACGTGACTTCGCTGTGAGTAACCGTTCCCCGCTCGCTCCGGCTTCTTGTCTTGCTCCAGCCCCTTGACCGCCCTCTCCTCCACTTCCCACCAGATCCCCAGCTCCTGCGGACCTCCCTCTCCCCCCACAACCCCCCCCCCCCCCCCCCCGCCCCCCGCCAGCGCTGTCCGTGTTGTGCGTACACAGGAGGGAAGTGGCACATCCCGGATCTCTGGGTTCACGTGGAGGTGGGGCACCCTTCCTAGGTGACAGATAGTGGCTGTCTTGGGACAGGTCACAGTGTTTCAACAGGAGGTTACAGTGTTTCTGCTGAGAGAGACAGTTGACTTGGAGATAGGAGGGTCTGGCTATTGCCCTCCCCCCTTGTCTTTTGGGGCATAGACCCATAAGAAAGCTGTGAGCAATCTTCAAAGAGCAAGCAGATTGGAGATCTGGGTACCAGGGACCATCTCTGTACCACTTGGCCCAGGGCAAGGGGCCCTTCTCTCTCCCCTTCTTTCACTGCACTTTTCCCTGTTCTTTGCCAACTGGTCTTTGGCTGGAGACGCTGGCAGTGCTGTTGCCATGGCTTTGGGCCTAGAGGAAGGCAAGGGGGTGGGGAAGGAGGTGGAGGACGGACAGAAAAAGTTGTGGGTAAGGCCTGATCATCTCTAAGCAGTAGGCCTGAACTCTGGTTCTGTGCTTGGTCCACGGAAGCCAATAGAATGTTTGGTCTCAGTGTTATGCTGTCCTCCCAACTCTCCCAGAGTCCTAGATACAATCCCAAACAGAAACATACACACTTTGACAGCTGATCTTGCATTTCTATCTCCCTTCCTCACTTGGCTTGGCGATGGATGTGTGGGATTTTGCAAGGGTTTTGGAAGAGGGGGAACCTTTTTGGGGGACTGAGATGGCAAAGACATTATCACTAATCTGAAATGTATTTGGCATCACCCTAAAGATAAGGGGGAGGGGGTTCAACTCCCACAAAAATCATTTGGGACCCTTTGACCCAGCAATCCTCTGTAGTTTACCCTCTAAAAGTGACATTGTTATTTCTCTCCTAGATGGGAAGTAGGGGCAGGCCAAATGTGGAACTGAGCTTCACTGTGCACAAAAATGATGCATATTAAAACAAGGAAAACTTAGAACCATGTTTCACCTAAAGTTAAAACTTCCTTATAGTAAAGAAGGAAACTCCCAAGTCCTTCTTCTGGGTAGAATTGAAGGAGAGAGGGGACCAAGCAGGCCAATCTAGCATTCTGTCTAGGATTGCTCAGAACTGGCTTTTCACAAATTAGGAGATGTTTTGAGGAGGTTCCATTTTAATCATCATTGAAATGCTTCTCTTGAACAACTGTCTGGTTCCTAACACCTTCCCTATTTTCAAGGTTAGGATGGTTGTTTCGCTGTTCATGTCTAGTCACTTAGGAATGCAAACTGTCTACTCAGATCCCTAGTGTATTCCTTGTGTTGTGAGTCCCAGCTCTAACATTCCTCCAAGATTCAGCACTGGTGTCTAATGACCAGTGCTCCAGAGGTATGAGTCCAATATTCTTGAGAATTATCTATTCTGCGACTTTACCTGCTTGAGAGATAACTTAAACTGTATACTCCCTAGGAGTCCTGGGTCTAGATCAGTCTTGTATCTGGTGTGCACAGGGGTTTAGGAGAGTGGCAGGTTTATCACTATTTGGTATATTTTTCATCATTTTATTATGCATTGTTCAATAGTTATTATGTACTAATTATTTGCTTCTCAAATTGAGTTGTTTGCTTAACAATTACTATGTTGAGTAAAACTGCTACATACAGTTAAAAAAAATAGACCATTGTGACAGTGCTTAGGAGGAAATAGTTGGACATCTACCTGAAAAGGAGGCCAAGAAGGAAAAAAAATCTGCATACCTCACCTCTCCATTATTGGCCATAGGAGCTTATATTTGGAGCTGGAAAAGAAGGTCCTTTAGGCCAGATGTGTCAAGTTCAGGTATGCAGGCTGCATACATCTAATCTCCCAAACTCTGCAGTGTGGTCTGAAACAGATTAAAATGTAATTAGGAAATGTTTAACAAAATAAATAAAAATACTTTGTGTAGTCAAGCCCTACATCATAGAGTTGTGACAAAAAACACTTTGCAAAACTCAAAGTGTTAGCAAATGTGAGCCTTTAAAGAATATCTTAAGATAATGTTAATTTAAGATAACGTTAATATATGGTGTTCTAAGTCAATATGTGGCCTTCAGGGACCTGTCTCTGTATTTAAATCTGACAATGCTTCAGGCTAATCCCTTTGTTTTAGAAATGAGGAAACTGAGGCCCAGAGAGGTTAGTTTGCAGAGAGTCACAAATGCAGTAAGTGGCAGAGATAGCATTTGAATTCAGGACCACTAATTTCCAAATTCTGGTAATGATAAGACAGATAATCTAAAACATCATTTTTGGATTTGGAATAAATTGTGATCTTTTGGAGCAGATGTACATTATGGAAATATTGTAGTGCAGTATTTAAAATGAGCTTAAATGTTTTGAACACAAATGATCATGGTGTCGGGTGACCTGGAAGTATTCTGAGTACTGGAAGGTGACCTGGGACTCAACGTTTGTTGTGGACAAGCTGCATGTGAATAACCACGAGTTTTTTGCATCTAGAAAAATACTTTCACTTTCTGGACATTGGGAAAGGAAGTAGCATCCACATCCTACCTATCCTTGAAGACTTAGAGCAAATAGTTCTTCCTTTGTAGACCACTATTTGATATCGAGTCCCTAGTGATATTACTTCTATCAAAAATATTGTTGCTTTAAATTGTTATTACCCTCTGATATAATCTACCTTTTCACATATTTATATCTTTTCTTCCCAACTAGATTGGAAACTCTTGAGTGAAGAGAATATATCTTTTTCTTCGTTGCATCACCCATAGCATTAGAATCAAGGATGAGAGGGAAGAAAGTTTACACATAATGGTCATGACTAAATATTGCTTTGGGGTTTTTGGATTGGGGTGTGGAGGGGAAGGAGGGAACACCCTCTGTTAAGCCTTGGAAATTCATACAGGAAATTTCAATTTGATTCCTCTGGGTATGTTTCTTTATGAAGATTTAATTTTCACTTCTGACACTAGCTATGTGGTTGAGGGAAACTCACCTCTCCTGTTCTGCGTCTCAGTTCTTCATTTTTTCAGTTAATATTTATTTTCTTTCCCTCCATTGGAAAAAAAAAAAAGAAAACAAAAATGAGTTTGTGTAGTCAAGTAAAACAAATTCCCACACTGATCATGTTCAAAAGTATAAGTTCCATTCTGCGTCTTGAGTCCACCACCACTGTCATGAAGTTAGTGACATGCATCATCACCAGTCCCATGGAATCATGGCAGGTCTTTGCACTGACCACAGTTCTTAAATCTTTCAAAATTATCTTTGCAATGTTGTTATTGTATAAATGGTTCTCCTGGTTCTGCTTACTTCACTCTGCATAAGTTCATACAAGTCTTCCCAGGTTTTCTGAAAGTGTCCTTTTCATCATGTCTTATGACACAATAGTGTTCCAGAACATTCATATATCATAACTTGTTTAGCCACTCCCCAAATGATGGGCACCCCCTTAATTTCTAGTTGTGCCTCAGCTTTTCAAAGCACAGCTCATGTCACCTCATGCTTGAAGTTATTTTTGTTTCCCCCCAAATAATTACCATTTTTTCCTTCTTGAAAGTATTTTGCATATAATTTTTGTTTACTTGTTTGTGTACTTATTCCATCTCTCTAGTGGACTATATATATGCTCTTCAAGATTAGGGGTTTTATCCCTAGTGGGCCATCTCCAGTCCTCCTGATCTATATCTTGCCCCTGGATCCAGATGGCTCTGGAGGAGAAAGTGAGGCTGGTGATTTTGCATAGCTCTCCCTCACTTAAACCCAATTCATTTACAAGTCATGGCATCACCTTCCTGATGTCATGGTCCTCTTTGAGAATGAAGGCACAACAACAACATTATCCCCAACACCTAGCACCGTGCCTTCCTTGTACATAGTAGATATTTAATACATCTTTGTTTAATTGGATTAAATTGGTAATCAATGAGCATTTGCTTATTATAAATATTAGCTTTTATGATCTTCAGTTTCCTCATCTGTAGAACTCTGCTAATAATACTTGCAAGCCCTACATCATAGAGTTGTGACAAAAAACACTTTGCAAAACTCAAAGTGTTAGCAAATGTGAGCCTTTAAAGAATATTTTAAAACATAGAAACCCTGGGGGTGGAAGGGTGTTGTTGAGGGCTAAGAGTAGAAGGAGGAGGTTTTAATTTCTAATCTAATCAACATTTATCAAGCACCTACTACTGCCAGGTAGTGTTCTAAGCACTGAGGATACAATTAACAAAAAGAGTCCCTGCCCTCAAGGGCTTACAATCTAAAGGGGGAGATAACACAAAAAAGGAGGCAGGAAAGGGGGGAAAACAGGATACCAGGGGGTGCCTGGCCTGGTGTCATATTGTTCTGTGGAACTGAAACCAGGCAGAGCAGCAGATGCAAAGTGGAGTGAGCTGAGAGTCCAGTTTCTGCCCTCTATAAAGGAAGGCATTGGAAGGAGTTTAGTACTCTGCCCTCTAGCCCTCCAATCACAGGGTAGAAGAGGCTGAGGGAGGTGGAGGGAATCAAGGTTTGAGTTAGCTGCATGATCAAGTGTCCTTCCTTAGAATCCTGAGATGCCCTCATGATATTGGACACCTTTGCAAAAATTGAAAATTAGAAGGTAGAGAGAGGGTTCCTCGTTACTGGAGGTTTTCAGGTGAAGCAGTTGGATGATCATTTATTAGGGATGGGGTTGAATGGGGTCCCTGCTCAGGTGCAGGTTGGACTAGACTCAGGGCTTCTTAAAGTTTTTCCACTCTTGACCTCTTTTTGCAAATCTCTTTTCACATTTCAGCAGCGTTAGTTGGTGTTATGTGGCCTGAGGGTATACGCAGTGAAAATTGGGCATGCTTTGTATTCAGAATGAGGGCTGCAGTGAAGTCACTTGATGC